GTTATTTATTTGTTTTTAACCGTGCCATCATGTTTTTAACAGTTTTAAACAGGTTTTAAACAACCTTCCTATGTAACAGTTTTACTAGAATACTCCAAACCAAAGCACACCTAAACTTTCCTCGTAATTCTACATAAAAAAATACTACGCAGGATTCAGCTATGTAGCAATCATGATACGAATAATTAAGAGAATTATATAAATGAAGAACATAGAGAATCAAACGAGTATTTCTAACTGAGTAATCATCTGAACACAACACTGATTGTCTCAACTACTTCAGCAAGGTTTCTAGACAAATCAGCAGGAACTTTGCCTAGATGTATGTTTCAAGTATATTTAGTGGCAGTCCAAAATTAAGAGGCAGCTACTTATACCAATGTCAGAAGTGCTGAAGTTCTAGGCACAGAAAAACTATCCACGCAGTGACAGAGATTACGCGGCAAAACTTAAAACAGAAAAAGATAACGTGAAGCAGTCAAACAACTATTTTTAAGGCTTAAAGTAGTCAACAAGACTGTGAGTAACGAGAGCAGCTTGAATCATGCCACCCACCTGTCTGGTAGTAGGACTCAGCCACCGAGGGCTGTGGCTGGGCAGCAGCAGCCACGGCTGCGGCGGTCGCGGTTGGCTGCTGATAATATTGTTTGCTGTCGTACGCCACCGCTGGGGCGGTGGATCGAACGTAAGAGTAGGAATCCTAAGGATTCAAAACAGAGAAACCACCTGTAAGTATATGGCTTGAGTAATAGAAATTATCAGCAGAGTGGAATTAACAGCATACCATCTTCTGGCCTACTCAAGTAGAATAAAAACTTCTCATCTACATGTACAGTATATACAAATAAATGCATTAGAGAAAATTTAACTTACTTTCATAGATACTTCAGGCCTGAAACAGCCCTAGCTGCCCTTTACAGACTGAATACTGGAATTATCCTCATGCTATTAATCCCTTTCTCTACCAAATTATTTTTGAAAAGCATCTACTCTCAATAGTTTTTAATGACAGTATCAGATTCTATTTCTGTAAAATATTAAGAAAAAATCTACCACAGATCTCTACAAAACATGAATTTCTACAAGGGCCAATAAAATCTCAGGGGTAGAAACATAAGCCTGTATCAGCTTTAAAAATGTTACCATTAACAACATTTTTCTTAGTTAAATTTTTTGGAGAATGAAAGTGGTATTTTTAAAGCCTTTTTTACTTTTTGGTATCAACTAGTTCATTAGGGAAACGTAACTGGCCTTCAAAGGTAAGGCAAGTAGCTAATTTGATACCTTTACCACACAGAAGATCTCTAATAAGCTTAGAAGGGGATGCCTGGAAGCCACTACATGCATGTACATACATTCTCCCATTCTCTCCATGTTTATGGCAAAACACAAAGAGTTGATCAACTGAGGGGGAACACGGCATGACCTATTGGAGCTGAAATACACTAAGGTATTAAAATCCTTTTTAATTCCAAGAAATACAACAACAAAATCTTTTTTCGTCCAACCTGTGTAAACAGAAATTATTTTATTTAGTTTAGAGGGACTATTTTTTTTTCCAAAGGTATCTAATAACTGATCTCATAATATATAATGAGTTGCAGAAGCTATACAAAAGAACTGAGAACATGCAGCAATAATATAGTCCTTTCAAACAAACCAAAATGCTAATTAGAATCTAGATAATGCCCTGGTAAGTTCAGAATTAGAAAGGTGGAAAGCTATTGCAAGAAACATAGTATTTCAAGATGAAAGGGGACAGAGAGCAAAAGCTCTTTCACAAGAGCCTGTATCCACAGATGGTTAGGCAGGGATCTCAGAAGAGGATATCCAAAAAACTACCCACAGGGTAGTTTATCTCCTAGAGCAATCTTCTGACCTCATAGGCTTGGTATTACACTCCAGTGGCACCCAGGAATCTGACAAAGGAACCATTTCTACCTCTACTGAAATTTTTTACTGGAACAGTCTTTTCAGCTCCATGACCCAGTTTACTGCACACCAAGCCAACATCTACGCTAACAGAAGACAGCGCTTTTCTTTACAGCAGCAGTTGTGGAAAATCACATTTTCTTTTCCAAACAGGCTTCCACTTCTCAAAGCAGCTCTTAAAAATCACACAGCAGGAACCTACCTGGTAGTTCTGTGTGGTGACAGGAGGTGGTGGCGGCGGAGCCTCTTGCTGGCGCTGCGTGTAGCCGTAGTCTGTAGCAGTGTGTGCCGTGGGATAGCCCCCGTAGGCAGCAGCTGTGGCAGCAGCTGCCACGGCCACCGGGGCAGGCCTGGCCACCGCCACCGTGGCTGCGGCCGGGGCATAGGCTGCAGTGACCGTGTGCGCCGCCACCGGCGCCTGGTGGACAGTGTAGCTGGCAACTGTGGTTGGATGGGAATAGGCTACACCCGACGCTGGCTGCTGGCTGTATTGGCAGAAGACAGAAAGTAATTAATCCAATGCACAAAGCTAATGCCTATACATTTCAAAATCCCAGATTTGATTAATACTTTTCCTGTTCTACAGACAGATCTCGAGCAGCCTTCTATCTGTGCATACTCTTACTTAATGCCTTTTATTAACCATCTTCCATCCCCGTGAAAAAGGCTGTATCATTCTCTGATTTCTGCGGATGGACACATAGACCACAATCACAAAATATTAACAGACAGGAAGGTACATTAAAGACCATCTAGTCCCAACCTCTGCACCAATTCCTACTCGACCAGATCACTCAAGCCCAATGCTGCCAGGGTTGGGACACCCACAACCTCCCTGGGCAACCTGTTCCAGCTGTTTTGCCACTTTCAGAGTAAGGAACGTCTTCTCAACACCTAACTTAAATGTCCCCTCTTTCAATTTGTACCCGTTACTCTGTGCTCCATCTCTACAGTTCCTCATATTTCATGTAGATGATTATTTACTTCATAAAGGGGAGGTATTAGTGTTGAGTTTTCTCCAAGCAGCAGAACACAAGTCTTTCATTCAAAATAATGCAGCAGTCCCAAGCTGATAGCTTTTCCAGACTAGCAAGTTTTAAATACTTTAGTAGTTCTTGAGTAAAGTGACATACCTGTCAAATTAAGAAGAACGCTACTTTTCTGTGAGAGCTCATTACTAACCCGTACTAACACGAAGTTTTTCATTACACCATATTCAAGCAATTAAATTTTAAAGACAGCCATGAAAATCAGCTCAGAACTGCTGTATTTACTTAGGCACATACAGATGATAGGGGACTTCTCCAACAGATGGTTGGAATTTTAGGAGCTGGTCCCACTTGCCCAAGCAGAAGTCCACTGACGCAACACAAAGCATCACAAGTGCAGACAACCACACTGAGCAAGAAAACCACTCTGGCAGTCTCCCAGGCACCTGCTGAGACTAATCTGCCTCTCTAAAATTTGCAGGTAGGAAGCTAATATTTATCAATTTACTAAAAATCCACAGATACTAACAGCAGAAATAAAAACTGATTGCTTCAAAGGTTTAATTACTTGAACAGAAACAAGAATTACTGTCCTGTACTGATATGTAACTGTGCATGATGTTGTCCTATTATGATGTATAACTGTGGACTATGATTAGAAGGTTGGAATACTTATTTAGATTTTTAAGCAAATAAAGTGAAGCAGGTAAAATATATGTAAAATATCACTATCTGGAATAATGACATCAAGGGGGATTCAGTAATAATTCCGATTATTTTTGTACATTTCCCACACTGCTGTTCAATAATAGCTATATCCATACACTTTTAATTTCACAAAAGTAATTTCCACAACTCCCTTGAGTTCAGTAATTTTTTCTTACTTATTTTTAGAAAACCTGATTTTGTCATTTCAATTACAGCAGAACCCACTTACTTTAATAAATTTAAAAAACACATACACGCAGCCTCCTCCCCCTCCCAACCATTCTCACAGCAGAAATAGAGAAAATTTTACTACTGAAGGACTTCCAAGCCTGGACTCCACCTTCTTCCCATCACATGTCCCTCACTGCTTAAAGACTACTTGCATTCTATCCAATTTTACTACAGTTGTAAATTGCACATACAATAATGTTTTATGTTATTTTCAATTATTAGCCTAAAAGCAAAATGCAAAGACCTAAATCACTTGGATGTACCTCACATCGCTGCTTGCAACTCCTCCTCCCTGATGTTCACAGGAAAATTCTGTTTACTTAACATGAGAAACTGGACTCCATCACAAAATTCAGGAAGACCGTTTTATGATGGTAGAAATTAAAGATAGTCTATAAAATTAGGTCTCATTATCTACATAACTAACAGTACAGAAGTGTAAAATAGTCACCAAATCTGAGATAATTTTCATGGCCACATCTATCTACTAAAATCACATTAAACTGAATAAACAGACAGCAGACTGCTTAACTGACTGCAGTTGAACACATCAAGAGTCTAATACTGCCAACAAGGTAAGTCTTGCTTCACACTTTTCCCACTCTTAGTCTTCCCTTCTCCCAAACACCAATCCCAGCTAAGCCATTTTATTCCATCCCTGGTGCTAATTCTGCTACTCGTCAAGCCATTCAGTGCACTGATTTAACTCATTAATCAAGCAGAAAACAATGTAAGGGTTTCTTGTTGGGGTCATATTCTAGCGTGGCAGAAATGTGAAGAAACAGCAGCTTACAAAATAGGTCTGCTGAGAATCAGAACAATATTATATATATACAGGGAAACAGAGCAAAAAGGGAGCAGAAGACTTGGGCAGAAGTGCTAGCTTGGTTTTTCCACGTTTCATGAAACTATTTGTTACTGTTACAAAACAAGATACAGTGCTCACAACGCACTACAAAGTAACAGTACCAGTCAGTTAAGCAAAGAAAATGCTTTAGTTCTCAGAATACGTATGATTAAAGATACCTGATAGTTTTCAGTATTTAAAATTGTGAAGAGATTACGAACATTACCAGCAGAACTATTAACAAGATTATGGTACAGACAATTTCATTTCTTGTGCAACTAAGCAGCAAAATTCCTTGCCACAGCACAGAATTAACAGCCCAAATAATTAGATTTTGAGGCTAATACAGGTTCCATGATCATGTTTATTTTAGCAAACCTGTTCCCCTTGCTTCTGCAACATCATGCAGAGCTAGTAATCGAGTTTGCAAGACTGCAGGAAAAGTATTCTATCACTGACTGCTTCTTCCTTTCTAAAAGTTGTGTTACATTATGTAACAGAAATTAATGGTGACATCTCCTCTAAATTTGTGACATTCTTCTCTTCCGTGGTCTTACTGAAAGCCTTTAACTTTAAGACGAGCAGACATTTCAATGCAATTAATTTACATAAAAATATCCTTGTGCCAACTTCTTTAATTAACTGACAAGAGTTCTTATCCTGATTTGGTGATTAGTGCCTCACCACGTTTGCTGAGATGAACTTAGCTCCTCCTAGATTATTCTGCCAAACTCCCTATTCCACTCTTCCTTCATCTGTGCACCTATCTTAATATTATCTGTTTTTCTTTGACTACAGATGGCAAGAACCTCATGCGTCATTTCAGTTTCAGCTGTGCCACCCACTCTACTCCAGACAACTGCTTTCTCCTTTCTCTCCTGGCAGTCTAGCTTCTTGTAAAGATTCTTGTAAAGTTACCTGTGTACTGACTCTATTTTCCTCACATCAAAAAGCACCATATGCCACACTAGTAGAAATAATAAAGTCATAACGAATCCCTAGTGAACTCCACTGCAAGTACTGCTATTTGATAATAGTTCTTCTAATTCTACTAAGGACCTCTACCAGCGCCTTCTCTACAATTATTTTACTAATCTCTATCTTAAGCAGTCATTTTTCATACTGCACCACATCAAGAATTTCTTCTTAGTCTTGATAAGTAAGTCTCGATAAATAAGTCTCCAAAAGATCTAGGCATGTTATCAAGTTATTAGAACACCAAGGAAATACAGTATGTCAGCGTGCATTTTCTTCACCACATCTCTCAACACCACAGGGAAAAGCTGAATTTATACTAATTACTCTGTAGGTTCTATGAGTTAAGAATACACCAACAGGTATGGCAGGACTGCAGAGAAAGCAGCTAACTCATTGATGCAGCCACTTCTCTTTGTAGATCAATTCTTCTCTTCCCCAAAATAAATTCTAATATCCCTTACTAGCATTTTTGAGTCGAGGCTCTCTTGCAAATACACTTGATTCAGTTTGCTTTGTTAACTTGGAGGAGTTTAAAATTCACAGAATAATTTAGGTTTAAACAAGGATTTGGAAGTCACCTGTTCTTATCCAATGCTCAAAAGACAGTTTATTTCAAACCTAGAAGTTTCTCAGGGCATTGTCTGCTCAGGGGCTGATCACCTCCAAGAATGGAGACTCCAAGGCTGCTCTAGACAACCTGTTCCAGGGTGCCATGGTTTAACCTCAGCTGGCAACTCAGCCCCACACAGCCACTTGCTCACTCCTCCACACTGGAAACAGGGAGAAAACTGGAAGTGTAAAACTGAGAAAGCTTGTGGGTTGAGACAGACAGTTTAATATGAAAGACAAGGGCCACACACACAAGCAAAACAAAACAAGGATTCGGACAGGATGGATTAATGGGCCAGAACAAATGATATGAGGCACAACAAGGCCAAGTGCTGGGTCCTGCCCTTAGGTCACAACAACCCCAGGCTACATTACAGACTTGGGGAAGAATGGCTGGAAAGCCGCCCAGCGGGAAAGGACCTGGGGGTGCTGGTCAACAGTGGCTGAACATGAGCCAGTGTGTGCCCAGGTGGCCAAGAAGACAAATGGAATCCTGGCCTGTATCAGGAATGTGGCCAGCAGGACAAGAGCACTGATTTCTCCCCGGTACTCGGGCACTGGTGAGGCTACACCCTCAATCCTGTGTCCAGTTCTGGGCCCCACACAAAACACTGAGGTGCGCCACTATGCCCAGAAAAGAGGAAGGTGTTCAGCCATCTCAAGAAAGCCAGATAAAGTTACTTGGGAAGACAAATACCATTTGATTTACTCTGAACATCACCTCCTTCCTCCTTCTCTCCCTAGTTTTATCATTGAGCATGATGCTATATAGTATGGAATGTCCCTTTGGTCAGTTGGGGTCATGTCCTGGCTGTGTCCCCTTCCACCTTCTTGTGCACCACCAGGTCCCTCACTGGTGAGGAGCAGGAAAGGCCTTGCTTGACTCTCTGTGAGGACTGCTCAACAATAAAGAACACAGCTCTGTATTATCAACACTGTTTTCAGCACAAATCCAAAGCACAGCCTAATATCAACTGCTCACCCCAGCCAAAACCAGCATATGATGTTTGAGCATCCTGTCAAAAATTTTTTCCTTCGTTTATTAAAGCTCCAATTTCAAAAGCAAATGAGCTCTAAACCAACACCTACAAAGCCAGAACCTGTTTCTGACCACTCAATTCAGTGCACCTTCATGTAACAATTCTTGGAGTGTTTAAATTCACTTTCAGGATAAATTATTCTTTAATTTAGGAAGTTATAAGTAGCTTCCAATTGTATTCTGCTGTACTACTGTTATACCATATCTTCCACAAGAAATTTTCATTCAAAAAGAATGTGTTTTACTGATACCAGACCTATGTCTTCAGGTGTTTCTGACTGTAATAGAAATAGTGCTTCCCTACAAGGCTGACTTAATTTCTGTTTCCTGGGAACAATATACTCTTCCATGCTTATCTTCCTGTTCAGGTGCATGTGTTACTGCATTTCCCTATCCCATCCAGAGCCAGTTTGAAGTGCACATGATGTCCCCAATTTTTCTGCTCCAGATTCTGTAGGTATATATTTCAGTCAACTACAGAAGGTCATTTGCAGGACCTTACCTAAAGTGTATTGTCTCTCCTTACCTGTTTTTAAACTTCCACATCTATGGTACTATTTCCTCATTCTCTTTATTTCCTCTTCTCAAACAAGGTCACCACTATTAAATAGTTTTACCACAGTATATAACTTGTCCTCATCTTTCATAGTCTAACTGAATAACTCCGAGAAAACGAGAGGTTAACTCTTTATAAGCAATACTGTATTACTGTGTAAAACAGTTCTGAAACACCTTTGACTCAAATCTTTGAATAACATCTATTATAATTCCTTCTGACACCAACAATAGGAAATACCAATCTTTCTGTTGCATTAGTATCAGCACAAGTGCCACATATTGTAAAACACCACTATGATATTAAAGCTGCTAGATAAGAATGACTGCAGAAAGTTGTGACCATGTATGTTTCTCTAATTCCATGATAATCTGATTTTCTAGGGGTGGGGATGAGGGGCCACCCTGTCTCTCAATCTTGCAAAATTCATTCCAGAGCAAAGGCCAAAGCAAAAACTGGCCTTATCCACACTGCTATCTTGTGCACAAATCTCCTTTCATCAAATGTAAGTATCTTTTCTCAAAGCAGGTGCACATTTTACCCTGATACTTTTAAAGTTGGATATACGAGTAATACAGTGGCTGTTTGCATGGTATTGACATTGGACCCAGTCGTGTAAACCCAGAACTGTCATTCTGAAATAAAACAGTATTTTAAAATACTTTTCCTGTTTGCAAAGTCTCCATTGCAATCACTGAGGCACCAAATAATTACCAAGATCTCCTTGCCCAATTCTATACCACAAAAATCAAATGAGCTACAGTACAGATTTACAAAAACTGGTGTAATGCTAGGTAGATATTTAGCCTGGAAAACTCTACCCTTTGGCCAACTTGAATTAAAATATCAGCAGCAAAAAGTCTACACCTTGAGAACAAGGTCTCAAAACAGAAGGTGTTAGTAATCACTACTCCGTATTTCTTATTAAAATAACTAGATTAATGTCATAATTCTGTTGCTAACTTCTATTTCTCTTGTCAAAAAGCACAACATTCAAGCAGCAATTAACAACCTTTTCTGAACTGCCTAAGGACCTTCAGCAAGAACATTGTAGCAGTGCTTTTGATACAAAAAAAAACACCGACTTTCAAAGCAAAAAAATAAATAAAATGCTGGCAGCACACTTAGTCAGAAGTTGTAGAGAGCAGAAATTGCTGGTCAACAGCAATTAATGAGGTACAGGTGTCCATTTGGCAAAACAATGTTCTTCAGCTCCACAACCATGTGTTTGTCTCCCTTAAACAGCCATATAAGGTAGGTTTACAAATAAGCAGCATTATTCCCCAAAAAAGCTTAGATAAGAGCTTGCTAGATGGAATACAGGAGAACTTTTGTTAGCTACTTCCCAACAGCAACACTGAAAGAAGATCTGCATTTCCAAAGAATTACACAGTATTCAGAGCAAATCTGAAACAAATATTGAATTCTCTTCTGCAAAACACTTATGTCATGTCTTTTTTCATTTCCAGCTATTGCCCTTTTCTAGAAAAAATTGTGGAGGCTTTTTTGTTTAAAACTAAATGGGAAGTAGAAAACTTGATGTATTTTTTCATGTTAGCCATGTAAAGAAAATAGAACATTTTGATATAATGCTATCTATTTTGCATTATGATGAATGAAGATTGTAAGACACTTTATTTTCCACTTTATTTTATTAAGGTATTTGCTGAGTAAGTCATGCATTAAGAAATGGGATAATCCATCTGTGGCAGTTACCATCAGAGGAATAATACATTTTCAGGAAAAGGCAGCCTACTTCCAAGTAAGATATATAGCACACAAAAGGTATGTATATAGGAAGCACAGAAAACATTCCCTACAAGCCCTGCTTTTTATCACACTTGATTCATTCATTTCAATAAAAAAGAAGAAATTAATTGTTACTCATGCACATAACATGCTTATCGTCAGCACACTGCTGTATTAACAAGCAACACATGCACACAAACGCTGCTCATATGCTCCTATAAGCTCTGTTTATCTTGCTGAACCCTGAAAACTCTCCTCCAAGAGGCAAAGAACATCTCTGATTTTTCAGTTTCAGTTTTCTGACAAGTGCTGTTTTGATAGACAGTTAGCATCTGGCCTAAAACCAAGTATGTCTCTACCCAAAAGACAGTATTTCTCAGAAATCACAACTTTTAAAATATATTTCTTCCAGGGGTTTATTTTTTTTTTTTATTTCCATGCACAACATTTAAGATAAGTTCTAAAATACTTTTAAAAATATGAGTATCTTGAATGAAAC